ACTGTTCCGGTCCCTGCTCAGGAAAACGGAGGCAAAGAAATTGTTAAATATGTTGGCTTTGTCGTCTGGTGCGACGACCAAATTTCTTAGCATGCCCTGCAGGGGCCCCACATTACCCGGAACCTTCTTTTTGCCCCCTATGTATTTAAAAAAGGACTTCTTGTTGTCCTTGATCCGGGAAGCTAGTCCCAGTTCCATCTCCGCCTTGGCCTTCCTGACTGCCCCCCTGCATCCCCAAGCAACTGCAGTATAATCCTCCCTGGCGATGGCCCCTCCCTTGCATTGGGTGTGCGCCTCCCTTTTAGCTAGGAATTTGAACCCACGTTTCCTTAGAAATGTGAACTGATCATCACTAAGTGAAACAAGTATTATCTCCATTTTTTAAATAAAAGCAGTAAGACAGACTCAGTTGTTAGCTGTCACAAAAGAAACTCAAGCCATTGAACCTCCCATTTCTATACAGATCAGATTTATATTGTAATGTTCTGTGTTAAATATGCAGAATATTGCTGTTAAGATAACATTAGTGTCTAATAATTTAAATTTGTTTGAAATTTTATAAGCAGAAATGTATACACCAGCCTGGCAGAAGAGATGTTTTTAACTAAGAAGCTCACTTCACAAATCTGATACCTAACTGAATGCAGAAACAAACTACTTCTCACTCATAGTAAGAGCAGTACAATATCGGATTAAGAGAAAAAACAAAATCAAGTTACAGTTGAGTTTCTAACCTGCTGTGAAAGGTCTTTCACTTGTATTTCTAGCCTTTGATTCTCTCTTTCAAGGACTGAGGCATGCTTATTGGCTTTATCAGTGTCCCCCTGCAATCGCTGAATTTCCTAATAAACAAACATTTATTAAAAACGCACAGAAATGTAAGTGATCATTATTTCACGCTACAAGAATCATATCAGACCCAGGAAAGAGAATATAATGTAAAAATTAAGCTCATCATACCCAACAACCAAATATTTATTTATTCCTTAAAAAACTGAAGATATAGCCTAAGGATTCAATCAAAACACAAAGCCAAATGCTTATTTTTCTAAGTTATGCTGTAATTTTTGTAGCTCACCATAATATAGAACTATTCACTAGGTAGTCAAAGCTGCCTATGGGGTCAACGTCCAGTTGCCATTGTAATGAATGAAAATGGGACATCCAAATCTTATTTTGTCTCCTTAACCATTTTTCTCCCCATTTTGTTACTTGTTATACATTGAGATGTGAAGCCTCGTTTATAAACAGTTCTCCATTCACAGAAACACAGTCTCAAGACTGAAGGGCCAGGTACAGACATTACACATTTACTGGTACAAGTGATCAGAGACTGGTCTATGCCCATAACAGAAGTTTGGCACAGAAAGATTGGTTTAAAAATGGCAAAACCCGGTTTAAGATTTGCTCCATTCCCTCAAAGGGCAAATGTGTGTTGTGTTAGCTACCAATCTAAACTACACTGCTTACAATGTAACTTAGATCAATTCCACCTCAGGCTTTTTGAATACCTGCACCTTGCCTAGATCAACATACTTTGGCTTATAAGTGTAAAAAATTGTAAACAATCCTGCATACATCTGGAATGGAAAAATCATGTCTCAAGAACTGGAGAGTGCAAATTCTTTTGCAAAACACACATTTAATAAGTGTACAAAATGGAACTTGGCAAGAGTATTCATGCTTGGTGAGGTCTGTTTCCTATTATCTTTCCAGGTAATTTCCTGTTTGTTTTTTTAATGCCCACACTGACCTTCATAGCTTGTTCAAGCTTTGCAGACAGACTGGCTACAGCTTTTTGTGAGCGTTCATACTCTTCACGCTGACGTTTTAAAATTGGTGCTTTAGCTTCAACTTCCTGCACTATTTCATCCAAGTATTTATTAATTCTCTTATTCTCCAGCTTCTCCAGAAGTAACTGATCCTGTGTTTCTACATATGCATTATATAACTGTATCAAGAAAAAAAAATTAATACCAAACAGACCTCTCTAAAACCCTGTTACTAGCAGTTAGATAATGCACACATTCAAAACAATGATTTACATTGTGCTTTAACAGATTTTATACAGGTTGTTTTCAACTTCTCTCTCTGAATAACCAACTAGCTTAACCTTTACAAATTTATTATAAAAAAATATTATGGCAAAGTAAAAATCCGTATTAGGAATTTACAGTTTTACGAGGTACAATGCAACTGCAGCAATGTGCCTCAAGGCTAAAAAATAAATTGGACAAATGCTAAAAACACATCAACTTGTCATTTGACAAAAAATTATCCTTCTTTGCAGACGATGGGTCAAAAAAACAAAGGCCTCAGAAACGACAAGTTTAGCATCTCAGGAAATGAGATTATATTTTTGCAACCATTCTTTAATGACTGGAGAAATGAAATTATAATTGGATCAAAGTATTGAAAAAGGAAATTTTCTGTTATGAAATCTAACCTTTCTAGAAGCATGATACAATTCCATGACGGAACAAATTGCAACTGAATTTAACATGCCCTGAGTAGCACTTGTTTGTTCCAACCAATCAAAATAAATGCAAGTAGCAAGGGTAGGTTCTAAACAGTGATGGATATGAAACAAGCTGGCTTGCAAAACTAAGGGATAATTAAAAGAACATTTGCAAATGATTTCTCATGGTGAAGAAATTCTACAAATGTCATGTTTCATAAAAATTCCATTAATAATTTTTTAAACCACTAAGACCTGCCCAATTCAGCAAAATACTAAAGCATAAGAGCATATCCACTTGATTTTAAGTTGTACTCAGGCATCTTACTGAATTAAGATTTAGACAATGAGATCTAGACTCTACTTCAGGAATTGCCAACAAGGGTGCCACAGCACCATGGTGTGCTGCAAGATCCTTTTAAAGGTGCTGCAGGTGCTGCTCAATATTAGGATTTAAGTATGCAAACAAAATTGAATGGATTTCTATTTGAAATCTCTGGATCTAACAGAAAAACACTGACTGGTTGTGGTCTTTCTGCATTCTTTGCAACAGCTGAATTGCTCTATTTGTTGTTGTTAAAAAGTGTGAGATGGCTAAGAGTTGGCATTTTTCAAAGGGTTGCCTCGAGCCTACCAAGATTGAGAACCATTGCTCACTTTCTCTGTGTTAGGTTTCGTACACAAACCCCCCCAAAAAATCTGTTTGCTTTTGACCAAGGATTCTAAGCCACACAGAACAAAATTAACACCACTCACCTCAGTCAATTTCATTCCTGGTTTTACCACTTTAGCAACTGCTGCAGCAGTAGGAGACATGGCTGCCAGTTCCTCCTCAGAGAGTATGGCTCCTGGAAAGATTATAATCCCACACTTGTCAAAAAATGCTATTCTGTCCCACTATCCAAAACAATAAAGGGCATGTCTTTCACCCATGCTTGCATTTTCACTTTTAATTAAATGTATTATATTTAGGATTGAAGACAACCTATATTATAGAGATGGCTATCAACCTTCATTTCAAAAAAGCATTTATGAAATCAGAGAAAGCAATAAAGTCAACTAGTAGAAATTGCTTGCAACATTATAGTCTTTGGTGCTTTGTCTGGTCTAATTAAGCATTTGAGGAATTAGACTGTCATGTGTTTGAAATTTAAAATACTTTTAGGATCAAAAAAATGGAAGAATATGAAGGTAAATGGCTGGCAGAGTTCAACAAAAACTAATTCTCTTGGGAACTTTCGCAAACAACGTTCTGGTAAAATAAAACAGCAGAAAATGCCACCTGTCACATTTGTTAAAAGTTTAAAGATACAACAGTAACTGATTTTCAATGAACTGGTATGTAGACTCCCACATATATTTAGGTTAATCTCTATGACAATAAACACTTATTTTCCCTATAACACATGCGCATGTGCGAGAGAGATAAATAAATAAATAATTTATGGTGAATATGAGGGCTTGGCTCACATACATGCATGCACTCGCACTTAATATTGTACAGCAAATTAACATTATTTAATGATGTATTTTTCCATGAAGCTTGAATTTTCTTTCCATTCTTTACTTTTCATTCCATCCAGGAAGAGCACACACCAACAGCTTAAACTTCCTCAGCCTGATGAAGGGTTTTTGAACCTGGAAGCTTGTTTAAAATTTTTTTCCCCAATTATTTAAGTTGGTCTAATGAAAGATATCAGATTCACCCAAAGAACCTTGTCTGCCTATGTCCTTAGACCAACACGGCTACAACTTATACTCCCCCATTTCCATTACAACTGAATTTGAACATTTCAAAAATTTCCAAACAGAATAAACAATTCATTTTAAACTGAAACTAAAATGGGCATATTTTAAAAATAGCCTTTAAAGACAAAGTACATATATCAACATGCAATGTCATTTTGAAAATACAAAAGCAGAATATATTGAATTAAAGAGACCAAAATGGGATGTTCTGATGCAACTGGAACTTTCACCCCCTCCAGGTATCCCTTTTTTAATGGGAAATTACTGCAGAACAGAAAACCCTTTAATGATCAGGATGAAATAGCAATTTCTAATGGGAAATGGTTCTTATCAATATTTTTTAAGATTATGCCTAAATATAGAAGTTTTAAATGAAAGATTTAGTACACTGACTTGGTTTAGAGATTGCAATGCAATGCCTCTTTTATAAGACTACTTTAGGTATAAAATTTGACATTTATGAACTTCTAAAACATATTAGCTTACCTTTACGTTTTGTAGCAGAAAGTAATTCATTTGCATTCACCAGTTCTTTCTCTAACTTACTAATCTTCTCCCTCAGTTCTTTTTCCATTGCAGCTTTTGACTCCTCCACCTCAGCCAAATGATCCTGTGTGGCCTTGTTAGCTAAAATTTACACATATACATATATATATAAAACACTTTGTTTTTCTTAAGAAAAGCGAACTATTCCAAAACATCTTAAAAAGGCATCTAAAAAACAGACCAATGCTTCAGAAACACAGGGTGAGGAAAAATGCACAAACTAATGTCTGTTATTTTGGTTTTGAGCTGAATGTATGAGTGCTAACAATTAAAAACTGAATTCTTTTATTGGCAAAGCAATCTAGAAGGAGATAGTTAAACAAAGAGACTGTCCAAACAGATTTAGAGACAATCTGAAAAAAACAAACAGACTGGTCTCAAAATAACAAAGGCCTAAAAAATCCGTAAGTTTATTAGAAGGCAATGGGAAATTACTCTTAACTTGTAGAGCCACTACTGCAAGAAAATGTTACTGATTACATTTTAAATGGGAAATGCTTCCATATAATGGGATTTTTTTTATGCCCACCTACCTACCAAGACATTTTCTTTAACCCTGAAATATAGTTAAGTCAAGTGATAGGAACATGAAACTGAAATAACATGCTCTCTAATTCTTATATGCAGCTTCTTACCTTCACCTGCTTCTTTCAAAAGTTTATGTAGTTCCTCCACTGCTCGTGTCAATTCATCACTCTTTGCTTCCGAATCATCTGCGGCACTCTAACAATAAATGTTTTACTGTTGTTATTTGACAATTACAAATAAAGTAGCTCCTAAGAAGCCCAAAATTGACCAAACAGACTGTATTTAATGTTAATGCTAGAAAAATCAACCCAAACTAAATATTTGTTTAAAATTAAATTGATTCTCAAAAAAAAAAATGCTGTAAGAATCTTGCAGCTGACGTACCAACTCCCCATTTATAAGTTAAAGCATTCAAGCAGAGAGTGGCACCTAGTTCAAAAAGGCATGAGTTTTTGTAGGAAACTACTTACCTTGTCACTAACTTGGCAAGCCACTGCTATGCTCATAAAAGAATACAGTTATTCATTTAACCTAAAACTACTTCAAACATATTAGCATTTATTCCTTTGGGTAATGTTACTGTTTATATTGGCTCTTTAACAATCAAAAA